GAGCCCCTAGAAGCTTCCTTGTTCCCAGTACCGATGCCAGGAGCCCCTAGTAGCGTTCTTGTTCCTAGTAGCTATGCCAGGAGCCCCTAGTAGCGCCCTTGTTCCTAGTAGCGATGCCAGGAGCCCCTAGTAGCTTCATTGCTATTTGGTTTAAGGTTGCAGTCCTTGGGATCCAAGGCGTTGCCCCAGAAATCGGTGCAGCCATCGGCTGGAGCGCTCACTCCATTGCAGGTGGTGACCGTAAAGCCCGCATCTTTCGCAGCATTTCTTGGCCGGATGCGGGTGGGGTCACAACAAGAAAGCAATGAAGACGCGCGACAGTCGACATCTACAGGAAACAGATTTCACAGTACACGAACAACACTCTCAACTGCAAGGCTCACTGAATTATAGTGATCTGTTGTCCCAGAAGAGCAGCCGCCAACGAATTCCGGATCTGTGTGGCATGGGCAGCTCCCATCAGGCAACGAAAGCCGTTCCTCAGTGGGGCTGTCAACATCCTGCTGGGCAAGGTCTGCCAAAAAGGGACCAAGTGCAGAAAGACAAGCAACAAAAGGTTGTTTTTTTGTTGAGATTCCTTGCAAGCGGTCCAATGCAGCGTTTCCACCTTCACGTTGGCCATCATACCAACCACAGTCATGGCTTTAATCTTGACGTCACTATCTCCCAGAAAAGCTGGCTCATTTGCACCCTCTGCCCATTTGTTGTAAGTACAAACTGCCTCCAGGAAGTCTTTCCATGTGTAGATTGCTTCCATCTGTCAGGGTCACAACAACAAACAAAACATTATAAGACAATGCAAAAAATATACCAGCATAGACCCCAAACAGCTCAGTCGGCAAGAATTGTTGTTGTCGTGGACGGCCACAGCCCTGCCTCGGAAAGCAACGTAAACAGTGGGACAGCAGCAGGGCAACAGAAAGACCAGAGGAGGACACGAGGAGGACACGAGGAGGACAACAAAGGACAACAAAGGACAAAAGGATGAGGGAAGGAAAACAACACGAACAAACAACGAGATAATAAAACTGGCGCTTGCCCCCTAAGCCCCACACAAGGCAATAGGGGACAACAGGAGGACAAGAGTAGGGCAACAGGAGGACAAGAGGACAACAAGAGGAGGACAAGAGAAGGACAAAAGGAGGACAAGAGGAGGACAAGAGGAGGACAAAAGAGGGACAAGAGAAGGACAACAGGAGGACAAGAGGAGGACTAGAGGGGGACAAGAGAAGGACAAGAGGAGACAAGAGGAGGACACAGGGTTGGCCAGCGCGACCAGAGGAGGACACAGCGGGCAAGAGGAGGACAAAACCTAGACACTGAGCCCGGACACAGAGTTCAAGGGCGCGGCCAGCCAGTGTGGCCAGCTCTTGTTTTCCAACAGTAAACTGTTTGGGGAAATGCCAATGTCGTGTGTTGGTTGTGCACGTCACATCCACATGTTTTGCTAAAGCAGCTCAATCTTCAGCTAGCCACTCCTTCTCCCAAGATTGGCCAAGACCAAAAAGCTCACCAGTCTTGCCGATCTTTTCGCCATATTCTGAATCCAGAAGTGCTTGGACCTCTCGACAATATGTGGTGGCATGAGCTGCGTGAGCCGCATGAGCCAAGAGAACCGTGTCCTCGACTTCCTCACCTTCAACACATGTCTCAGCCACCGCTGAAGCGACGACCACGACCACGAGCGTCAGCGTCCGTGCGACAGCGGCCATGGCGAACGGGCGACGGAACGAGGCACTTCGCACGGAGCGCGCGTGGGGCTTCTTCGAGGCCAAGAGCCAGCGCAGCGGTGCGGAGCCATGTGGCGGTGCCTGTGGCAACAGCCTCCCGTTACTCAAAAGGTTCAGGACCCAGTGACTAGGCCCATGAGCATGACCTAGTGGCTAGGCGTGTCTAGGTCCGGGTCTTGGCAAAATCTTGATCGTGTCAGCGTCTCTTGACTTGCAAAGGTGAAACTTGCTCTGAGAGGACTCCCTTTTCTGACGGCTTCTTCTGCGTGGGCTGCAGAATTGATGTCTAGGCATGTCGCGAGGAAGTGCGAATACGTCGTTTTGGGCTCTCTGCGTCAAGCATATCAGATGGCTACACCGACTTCTCAAATCAAAACATGACATGCAAGATCTGCCTGGTCTGGAGGTTGCCTTTGTTTCAATTCACCACCAGAATCCTTGACTCTGCCCGGTTCTTGTGACCAGTGTAACTATATAATAACTGAAGCGAATTCAGGAACTGCCAAGGACACTTCCTTGAAATGATAGGAGCCCAAGCTCTAATGTGGACAAAGCTTCCACTTTCGCTATGGCAAAGCTGGAGTACAGGCTTTGGGCTTGCTCGAGCACGAGGGGTCCTAGAGCTTGCATCAGCTACCTGAAAGCACCTGCATGTGCATGGTGTGAACCACCGGCTTTTTGGAGCACAATCCTTGAACTCTTGACATTGCTCTGCCATTCTCAAAAACGGATGCGCTTCTTCTTCTCCTCCCCTTCTTGCGGAAAAGATCCCAGAGGAACCCACGGGATTTCATTCGTCCATGCGCTGTGGCCACACACCATGTCCCACCGGTGACGACGGTGCCCGTCACTCACCGCGGCGGGTGACGTCCAACGGATGGCCGGATGGCCGCCACCCCGGCCGGCCGCCGCGGATGGCTTTGGAACGGCACCAGGGGCGAAGGGAAGAGCCTTGGCGGCGAGTGGCTCCTACCTAAACGCGATGGCCGCCTACCTAAGAGCAATGGCCTCCAACCTTCTAGCGATGGCCTCCAACCTAGCAGCCTCGTCACGAAGAACTTTCATGCCGTGCGAGGTTGGCAAAGGCTGTTCTCGGGTGATGTTCGCTCTGATGACCAAGCCGTGCACGCAGCCAGCGCCACAAAGCTGTCCTCCCTAACAGGTGCGGTGTACTTCGAGCACCAGAACTCCGCAAATCGGATCAAAAATCAGAACTGAGCAAAAGCTGGCTCAGTCAAGCAGGGCCACAGGTAGCTTGCCATCGACAGCAGCTTTGACCAGTTGCCGCCTGTGGCCCTCGAACATTTCCGACCTGCAACGATCTTCCGTTTGCATCCACAAATGCCAAGTTTCTGGGAACTCTGCATTGAGCTTGAGCCGGTGTCGTGGCCGCTGTCGGTGATGCAGTCCCACCCAAGTCTGACAGAGGGTCCAGGTCCTCCATCCCATACACGTGCCTGGCAACCCTCCAGGTCAAGGCCAACTGAATTGCTTCGACCACATTGAGCTCGCGAGGGTCGCCGCCGCCAGTCACAGCAATTCGCACGTGGTTGAGGGCCGACTTGAAGGCAGAGGGGGCCATGTTGGCCAGGATGCGGAGATTGGGCACTGTACCCACAGCCCGCTGCCAGGCAGACCACGAAGGTTCTGCAGCACCAGCCCATCGCTTGGCAGCCTCCAAGTCGGTGCTCGTTCTAAGCTCCGTCGCCTGTGGGGAGGAGAGTGCAGGCCATGCAATGCCTGAAATGCTCGCAAAGTCGCCACGTCAGTGGTAATGGCCAACTCCTCCACCTTCGCCCGACGAGCCCACCAACGTGCAGCCCAGATGCCACAGGCACAACCCAGGAGCCACACGCCAAGCACGAAGATCACGAAGTCATCCATGCCGTGACGTGAACGCTCAACTGGTCGTGCTCTGGCACATCTCAAGAGCGTGACCACACCACCGAACACTGCTCAACTGTCATTACCTTTATAAAGAGCTTTGCTTCACGAAAATCTCCAACCGACCCTGTTTGTTTGAAATCCCAGTTGCCTCCAGCCAGCCCAACTCTGGGTTTGAGTACTTGTTTCTGCGCCAAACGGCGCCATGACAAAATATGTTTACCCTTGTGCTACTACAGTGCAGTGTTTGCTGAACCATATTAATGGCCGCAGGGAAATTGCAGCTGGCGCTGGATGGGTTTACTCTGTGTGGGCGGTTGAACTTGGAAAACACCCCCTTCCCCGATTTCGGGCGTTGCCAAAAGCAACGCACAGTAACACATCAGTACAAAAGTCATCGCGGCCAGCTTCGAAGACCTGGGTCTCCACATGTTCACTGTCGCGAGATCCCCCAAACTCTAATCGTGCGCGCGTCGGTGATGGGGTGGTCCCGGTGGTATATGTTGCGCGGGTGATCAACGTCCCACAGCGTGGACTGTGGCCACAGCGTGGATGTGGGTCGGAAATCGAGCCGGCGCGGCGCGTGGCGGTCCAGTGTTGGGCGATCCGCTGGGCGAGCTGATCCGAAAGGCAAGCTCCACACGTGCGAAACCCGAAATCGCAAGGAGTAGAAGAGTGCGGCAGCTAGAAAGCCTGCAACAGCCTTGAGTTGAAACCTTCAGTTCTGACACGAACACCCCCGACTGTTGTCCAACCCAGGTCCGGACAATGCAGTTGCATAATGTTGCATACCCACCAAGTGCGTCACCGATGAGTCCTCCGTCGTTGGCGTTTTCACAGAGGGTTCGCAATTGACCCGCAGTGCACGTACCACCACTGCCAAAGGTAGCGCGGGTCGTGTGAGTGAATTTCGGCGCATCCATTCACGGACCAGCACTCCTGAAGGACAACCCGCATCCAGAAAGGAATCGGGTTTCGGCCGCATAGCCCCGAATCAGCTCAGCTAGAATGATTAGTTCAGAATTTATGCTTCGTCCAAGCTGGGTTTCCGCTCTTAGTTCACGTGCTTTGGGAGTGCTCGGGAGTGGCAGACAGTTTTGTCGGAAACCGGTGGCCCGCTCCCCGCAACCGGTGCATGGAGACGACATGCTGGGGCTGGTGATTGGCTGGTGACATGGTGGGCAGGTGATGATGTTGGTGGAACATGTGGTGATGCTGTGGGCCATAACACCAAGGTGCCTGGGTGGCTGTGGGCTCTGGGTGGCTATACCAAAAGCCATGTGAGCGACAATCCATGTGCCTCTTATGCGTTGCAGTGCGCACTCTTCCCAACGTTATCGTTTTTTTCTGCACTTTACTTACTTAGTCTTCACTGTAGTGATGCTTCCTTTATCGGAGGTTTTGGCAGTTGCTCATGTGTAGAACTGGTGAAGTCTGATGTCGGTGGTTTGGATTCATGGAGATTCATGGTCAGCACGATGCCGGAGCTGCATTTGTCTTTGGCCGGTCCGCAGAGCACCGCCGCGCAGCATGCTGCACATGCCAGACAACAGGGCAGGGAGGAAGTTTCATGACCACATGTAGGAAGAAGGAACTGTTGATCAAAGCCGCCGGAAGAGGGCAACTCCCAAAAAACGACCCCAACACTATGCCCATTTCAGACCCTCAAATGACTGGCGCAGCGTGAAATGTCTATGTTTCTTCAAATTTCTTGCACGACACTGAACACAATGACAATACAAAACTCAGGGAAGAGAGGCTACAACACAAAGAGCCAAAAGAGAAAAGGCCAATCAAATGGATGTAACGCGCAGACCAGCAATCCGACAGCCTAAGAAAGAACGCCTGGGAATCGAGATGTATTGTGACGTCGGCTCACACAAAGGGCCAAGCGGAGTCCGAAGGTCGAGCAAAGGCTGAGTCCAAAGCGGACAGGACGCATCATGCGAGGACGTCCGCGTGGACAGGACAGTGGTGGCCCACGTGATGGCAAACCTGCACAGCTTCGGTGGTCTGTCGTGTCTTTCACGAGGACGGGTCGGTGTGGCTTGCACCGATGCGGGTCCAGTCGACGGGGTCCAGTCCTTCGGTCTGACGCGCGAGGACGTGGACGGCGCTCAGGAACCAATGGAAGAATGTCCACTCTTGAGATGTCCGAACTATAAACGGTCCGATGGCGAAGGTCTCGCCACTTTCAGATTCGGGCGCCACAAGTCAGCAAGTCACTTTGGAAGTCGCCTATCAATCACCAGTGAGTACAGCCGGTCTGGTTGCAAGCGGTCTCAAGGTCGCGACCAAGAAGCAGCCGAACTTCACTTTTCTGGTTCTGGCTTTCGTGCCGAGATACAAGTGCTTTCAGGACTTGCATCTTGTCCCATGGCTGAGGTTCCAATCTTGCAAAGCTTGGTCTAATCAAAAGCATCGTCCTATCACAGTGATGATACTGTAATATGATTTTGCCACCGAGCAGAGCAGAGCGTCTCACTGTCTCTCTTTAGAATCTAGTGTGCAGATCTGTTGTGGTGCTCAAAACCTTTCAGCCATGGGGCAATTTGCAAAGAATGTCCTGTAAAACGCCTGCTACGCTGCTCCTCTTAGAGCATACATCTTCACGGGAACCAAATCATTGGGCCAGGCTGCCTCGAGAGCCAGACGGCAAAAAATCAATTCATGGCCCTCTCTGAACACATCCCGGCATGGATCGACCCTCTGGAGCGTTTTTGGGACCGGAACCAAAACCGACCGATCTCGCGGATGGCCCGGCCATGTCTCGGCTCGACTCGACGCCTGTCGGAGTTGGTCCTGCAGCACGAGGCCGGCCTTGCGGAAGATGTCCTGCGACTCCACCGGAACCCGGTCCGAGGGAAAGGCATGCTGCCATCGGCAGCACTCAGTGGTGTTAAAGGATGGGGGGATGGGGAAGAGTCGAGAGTCGGGGTGGCTTCGGAGGGATGGACATGGATGGACTGAATGATTTGGGGGGTTCTTTTTGGGAAAAGAAAGAGAAGGAAAGAAAGAAAGAAAGAGGGTTCTATTTATGTGTTCTTGTTGAAAGAAAGGAAGAATGGAGGGTGGACTGGGCGACTGGATGTCACCGACTAGTCCTCTTTCTCCGACTCGTCCAACGGTGCAGACGTCTGGGCACCCAAAAAAGAGGTTCACAACAGGCCGACCTGACGAAGAAATCGGTGGAAAAAAGAAGGTCCCGGGATCCTTGGAAGTCCAAACGGAGCAATCCTGAACAACGCCCCTCACTGCATCTCTCCCTCTCTCTCTCTCTCTGTTTGCATCAACAGTTAGATTAGATACTCAAACATTATATAACTAGGTGGATCTCGTGGTGCGCTGGGTCTACATGGGTGTACTGGCTTTACAGAGTACCAGTTGGTCGACTGCCTCGGCATATCGTGCGACCCAAAAACGTCTTCGACATGGGGCTTCGACATTGGTCCTTGTACATGGCATCGGTCCGAGAGATACTGTTGTCATCACGGTCCACCATCCATTGCCTGTGCAGGTTTCCATTGAGCAATCGACTGATGAAGCAGACAGTGAAACTGATTGGTACATGACCCCCAAAAGAACCTAGTGTGCCAACGACGCTGGTGGTCTACCTCTGAGCCTATGAGATTTGCAGGCAAGAAAATCTGATGCTCATGAGATGAAGATGTTTTGAGGCTTTCGGAACAACCAGATTACCAAAATGTTACTTGAAACTAAGTAAGACTATCATGGTAAGTAAGATTCACGTAACTGATTTTAAGTAACTATCTAGCTAAAAGATTTGGTAACTGTCTTTCAAGTCTAGACGTGGTGAATCTTGACCAATTCACCGATTCGCTCAAAGCAGCCAGAGCGTCCCTTCGATCACGACATTCTCTTTCACAAAAATCATGCCATTCCTGCAGAGCATTCTTCATACAGTTGTTTCATGTTGTTTCCAATCATCTAAGTCAAAAGGATGGGCCACCCAGATTGCGATACATCTGTGTGTGTGAGAAACAGCAAACAAGCGAACAACAAGGTAGCGCGAAGAACCAACCAGCCGTGTATCTGCAGAATGCATCTGAGCATGCCTGTGCAAGGTCAACGAACACTTCGTGTACGCTTAGGTCAACCGTGCCGGACGCATGTGATCTAAGCTGAGCATGGCACGGACGCAGACCCTTCTTGCATCGCTGCAGGAAGGCCACCAAGTCTTCGTCCGTCAAGTACAGTAAGACCCACTGGGCCCAGATGACGTCGTACCTGGCAGATCGGTCGGACGGGCTCCGTTGAAACGGAACCCCAACGGGGCACGGAGGGTCCAACATGTCATGCTAGACTCTTAGAACGAAGAAGCCTCCAGACATGGATTGAAAAAAATAAACATGTTGAGGCTACAGAGGGGCGTGAAAGAATCAAATCAAGTTTCTTTTTAAACAAAGTAAGCCATAATTGATTCAGACCTGGAGACTGGAGACACTTGATAGTCACGTAGTGAGGCCCACTCGCCCCCGCTGGCCTTCCTTCCTCTGGCTCAAACTTCTCCAGAGAGGAGGCAATTAAACGCTCCGCGCGGGCACCAACCTGAATCAAATTAGAAATAGAAAGGATTCGACCTCATGTGGTGGGTGCGTTGGCGCGAAGAATGGACCGAATGCTTCAAGTCTCTCAAGTCTATGATTGCCGCTTGAGAGAGAGAGAGAGGGAGGGTGGGCAACCATGGCAGTCAATGAGTTCTGAGGACCATTACCCGGAAAGCCGCTGTTGGGGTAACTTCGAGTTGCAAAGATCACGTACAAACACATTTTCCAAATCTGCAGTTTACAAGGTCTCAATACTATCTTCTTAAATATCTTAAATTGATCTTAAATTAAATGGTTCAGATGTCCTCAAATGTCAAAAGAAGTTGGCATAGCATATCGCATATCCGCTCCCAAACAAATCAAAAAGTGAGCCCGTTCAACAATGTTTTGGATATCTTGAAACAATATGAAACTGTCTACTTGGGGCCTCTCACAGGGCATGACCAACAGAACACACATGAATCTCCACAAGCGTCCTTCACCAAAAGCCCCCAGGCTGCCGGCTGTGGGCTGTCGGGGGCTTCGCCCAGGTGCCGGAGCCAGTTTCCCTCCGGGCTTGGAGCCGGAGCCTGTTTCTTCGCCTCCTCCAAGAGCCGATCGTTGGGCTCGACCAGATCGACGCGCTCGAACCTGGTAGCTGCTGCTTCTCGTGGTGGTGCGCAGCACGGCGGCGGGGAGATAGCTACTAGTGAAAGAAATCGAATAACAAAATGCCGGTGATGCGGCTTCGGGAATGCCATCACCCTGCTCACCAAGCTAAGCCGTGGTAGAAAAACGATCTGTGATCTGTGGTGTGTCTGTCGTGTGTGGCACTCCAAACCCAAACGAAGGGCGCAGGATTTCGGGCGAACGAAGGGTCGAGAGTCTGGAGATGTTCGTCTACAGTGATGTTGAGTGATGTGGATATTCGGCTCTTCTGGATGGGTGAAGCATGGTCCAGGTGATTTGGAGGTGTCAACTAGTCTGGTGCGGCTTCAAGCTTAGCCTGCTTCCAAAGCATTTTCGGACCACAGACCTGGACCCGTATTCCGGAGAAGTTGGGCGAACCCAGCTCCGCTCCAAGAAGGTTTAAGGCCCAGGCAGGTCCAGAAGGAGACCTTTGGTGACCTGAGCGATTCCGAGGTATAGGATCCTCCGCATCGAACGACAAGCGGAGGATAGAAGAAGAGGTATAGGCTCCTACCGGAAGGCTACGCTGCTTCAAAGAAAACGAACCAATTTGGGACATAGATAATCATAAATACAGACAAGAAGATGTAAGAATGATGTACGCCCTGGAAGATTAACATGGAACCCGAAAACCACCGGGTTGTAGAGGAACATAGTCTTCCGAAGGTCCATTAAGTAAGAGGACCTTCTGGGGGCCTCCTTTCAACGGGACCTTCTGTCCAAGGCCGCCCGGCCCGTCCAATTCCAGCGCCGCAATCCAAGACGATCTCGCGTTTCGGAGGGTTTGGCCTCGGGGCCGTTGAGCCGACAGAAAGCGCCGTCGGTGGGCGTTTTCAGCAAAAACATATGGAGATTCGAAATCCTTTGGCCTCGCAAAAAGTCGGTTCGAGGGCTTCTGAAGAGAAACAAAAACGGATCTCACTTCAATGCACTGACGAAATAAAATGAAGTAGCTTGCAACAATTCCGCACTGAGATGAAGTAGCTTGCGGATCTGAATCAATTGGACAAATGCTGTCACAGCAGATTTGTGGCTTAGCATCCCCAACGCTCGACTACTGACCAAATCCAGAAATCTCCTGAGGACACAAAGGCTCACCATCGAAGTTGCGAGCATCAAAGGGTCAACTCCATCAACTCCCACAGCGGTGGCAAACAAAACGTGTCCCACGCTTCGTCTTCGCCAAGAAATTGATGCACGAAGGCTCACAAAGGCTCACCAAAGGTTTATCTTCGGTCGTTTTCTCTCTCTCCCCCTTCCAAACCGAAGGATTCCCCTTCTCTTTCCCCGTCCAAGGCCTGAATTTGTCCGACTCCAAGGCCTTCAAATCGCCGTTTTCCCTCCGTCTTCATCCCCCAAAAGCCGCGGTCCTCGCGCCCCGCGGTCTTCGGTGTCGAGACCGTCTCCTGGACTCGCGCAGGTCCGGCTCGCTGGTCTCGGGGAAGCCACCCAAGACCCCGTCCAACGTGGCCGCCTCTCGAGCGGACCAACCGCCGAGTCTCGGAGAGTCTCGGAGAGGTCAGGTGGTGCCGTTCAGCGTGGGTCCGGCTTCTTCGGGCGTCGAAAAGGCCCCGCTGGTTGGCTTCCTTTTTGGCTGTGTCTTTGTGTGTGTGTGTGTCATCCCTTCATTCATTTGGTTGATCGGTTTGGTAAGCCAAAGGAAGAAGTTGGTTTTAAAAAAAAGGAGATGCATTTCTCGCAAAAAGAAGACGGCTCGGGCTCGTCGTTACTTACACGCACCTGCGCTGCCCAGTGATCTGCAGCTTTCTGGTACCAGCCTCGTCGGCTCATCCGACCGAGCTACCAACCAACGACCGTGGCATCTGGCGAACCACCTTCTGAGTCGATCTCTCTAGTCGCCCCTGCAGCGAAAAGCTGCAAGACTTCGAAAATAGAAAAGGAAAGGGGAAGTAAAAGCATTGTTGTGAACACCGAACTTTCCCCTCGTTCAAGTGTATGCATGGGCATCAAAAACACCGAAGTTTCGGTTGATGTTCATCAAATCTGCCAGGTCTGATGTTCATCAAATCCAACATGCGCCATCCATCACCAAGGACACCCCAACACAGTGGATCCGTGCTCATGGACTAGCAACCAAACCGTGGTGACACAACCGATAGCGATGTGATGCCTATCAGCAAAACCAGTCGTGGTTTCTGCATGGCAGGTTTTCTGTGCTAAATTTACTGGTATCATGCTTCATCTAGTTCCTCCGGCTTTCCTATGGTTCCAAACCCCATCCTCTTCTGGTAGTTAGCCCCCCTGTTTTGCTTTCAACTCTCAACTTGTTCATTTATATTATATTTAAACGACTATTTAAACGATTTTCACCATCAGTCTTTAGTGAACAGCGGTGGCAACTGGTCCAGTGGATATGGATAGATGAGATGAGAATGAAAATAACTGGATTAGTCCATACCGCTCCTCATGGCCTCTAATCACTTGATTCGCAAATCCAACAACTTTGCCTAGCCTGCCGGCTGACGATCGCAGCACGTGGTTCGGGGCTTCTTTACATGATTTGGGGCCCTGGCATGGCATTTCGGAATCGGCAGCCTAGATGCTACACATACAAACAACAAAAAAGATACTCTAAAGATGAGGGGAAAAAAATAACGTTACATGCAACTTTGTCGCTTGCCCTCTTCTTGTCGTCACTCCACCTGGTGCCAGCAGCATGTTCGGAGATCCAAACGGTTTAAGAATTGGCATTCAATCGCTCTGCCAGCAGCTTTTTCTGGAAATGTGCTTGGGGATCAATGGCCTTGAAAAGACATGTGTCATCATGTGTCAAACCATTCTTCCCTGAAAAGATAGCCTTGACTCGATGACATCGGCTGCCAATGTTGTTCGACTTGGCCAAGTCGCAGGTCGAGGTGGCTGGCGTAGATGGCCCCTGCACTGTCTGTCCCCGGAAGGGCCTCCGACGGCGCCACCGTGGCTTCCACCGTGGCTGTGTGGCCCAAAACGAGTCAAACGAGTCGCCAAAGGAAAGAGCGATACAAAACGGAGAGGACAGAAGCCATCCAAAAGACCATCCATCCATCCCAGAGTTCACCGTCTCCGGCCTTCACAGTCTCCATGGAAGTCTTGAAGTGGACCACCTCCGGTGCCCAAAACGTTCGACACATCGTTCATGCGGCTGTTTAAGCCTAAGCCTTCACCTTCATCAGCGAAGTCGGTCCGCGAAGTCTGCGGAGTCTCTTGGTGGACACGTCCTTTAGACCCGCAAGGGAATGCAAGTCTCGGGTGGTTCTTTTTTGGGTATCTCTCTCTACTCAGGTCATGGATTTTAGCGCAGTGCCTGAAGACAGCGCAGTGCCAAAGACCGCAACCTGCCGGAGGGTGCAAAAGACATGCATGGTTGTACTTCTGACACGGTACGCGTGCAACAAAAGCATGGAACGAAGATGTGAGGCGACCATACATCAAACGCAGCGGATTGTGTCCGACGCGTGTGCTCCGGATCCGTGACGCGTCTGGAGAAGAACTCTTCAAAGAAATCCCATCAAGGGTCTTTGCAGGGGCTTTTTACTTAGTGTTTGGATCCATCCGCTTCGGAGCGCCTGGGGCCGTGGCGGGACGGGAAGTTGCGCGCAAGGCGTTGCGCCGTCACGCTCGCTCCATGGTCTGGACTTGTGCGGTCTGGACTTGTGCCACTTTGAGGGTTGCTTCTCTTTTGGGATCTCTAAGGTGTACAGAGAAAGTAGCTTTTGGACAGACTTTGTTGGGAATCTTCAGGGTGTTCGAAGGTTGAAGCTGCACTGGTTGAAGCATGTTTCGGCTAGGTCATGAGCAAAGCTTGACCGGACAGGAACGCAAGGTGTCGACCATGTCCTTTGAATGAAGTTTTGGCCGTGGCCACCCATCACAAGTACACTCTGAGGAACTCACATGGAAGTGAAGTTCAACCCCTGTTGGTAGAGGAAAGTTGTCTTCCAAGGGACCATGCCATCCACTTCCATGTGATGTGTTCGTCAGAGGGTACCTGGTTTCGTCGCAAGTAGTCTGGCTCCCTTTTTCAGCTCTAATCCTGCGACTTTGGCATTCTGATTTCTGTGCTGCAGCTCCCCTTGGAAACACCAGGGTTGGCTGCCTTCATTCTGTTCTGTCCTGTTTTCCCTTACCAACATCTCACTCACCACTATATAAACACGTATTTTTTTCTGTTTTTCTATTATCTTTTGGAGGCGATCTACGCCACTCCGAGATCCCTCTCGCCAAAAAGGAGGCCTATGCCATGCCGAACGAGTGTGGATAAACCCCTTCCAGCTATTGCCACTTTCTCTCGTTGCCGCAGCTGAGGAAAAAGACGCCGATCGAATCATCCCAAAATTGTTGCACCCCAACCCCTTCGGACGACTCAGAAGGTGACGATCCAGGTCCACAGGGTGTGATTCAACGACGTCCGAAACAACTACCGGAGTCGACCGGGTTGGGCGGGCCAGGCGACCGGGTTTCGGGCCGGCAAATAAGGGGTAATGATGTTCAAAAGGTTTATCTCCAACAGCATATGATGTGTACCTGTTTATGAATATGTTGTGTATGATGCTGTACATTTATGCTTCAATAAGTCTCATGTGATGTATACCAGCACCCTCCAACAGGTCATCACCTGCGACTTTTAAGTCGAAGCCTCCAGAGGAGACGTGTTGGAAGTTGCTGGTGTATGTATGTGTATATATATATATTGTTAAACTATATGGAATATATACTTGGATAATCTCATCATGCTTCACATGTCTCTTTTCTTTGGAAAGACCCTTTCTATTTCCTTGCGAATGCTGCCAACCCAAACGACATGTATCCCAACCGGGCTCAAATGCGTCTCCATCCAGCGAACAGCTGTCCGCACACCTCAGAGAAGAGCCAGGTCCGATGGAGCCGTGGCGTTTTTTTCCGATCAACAGCGGCTTCTTCCCCCTTTCCAGGCAGGTTGAAGAGTGAAAACTGGACAAATGTTGGTGAAGCTGGTGGATCCACACTAAAAGAATCGTCGCAGAAACTGGTCGGAAAGTAACCAGATTTGAAGAAAAAAGCTACCGAGTAAGGGCTGCACTTTGCATTTGCCACCTGTGGCGGTCTTCATGGCACACTTCTTGCCTCATCAAGAGCAGTCCACCTCTTACCTTGAGGCCTCCAAGTACAGTCCAAAGCGGGCGGCTGGCTTCTATGATTGGTTCCCCCCCTCTTACCTCGCTCTTACCCTCGCGCTTTACCTCGCAACAGCCGCCGCATCGGTCCGACCGTCGGGCGGTCGGGCGATCTGAGGAGACCCCACAAGCTGCTTCGTGGCCACAAGCATCTGCCTCGTACCTTGGGGAAATGGTGTCAAATCGAAGGCCGGTGTTCTTCTGCCTCGTTTTCTCTGTCCAAATCGGCCTAGGCTTGTTTTGCCAAAGAGACAAACTGGAAGAAGGTGAAACAAAACACGACACCCTTGGCAAGTGTTGGATTCTGAAGAAAATACACCTGTTTCATCTCTGACTGGGGCCTCCTGCTCCCGAGTTCCCTTCTTGCAATAAAGGCAAGCATCCTGATAATTGGCTTCACGAGGTAGAAATCGGCTCACTACTTCCCATTGGGCTGGTTCAAACACCAGAACCGATTTGGTTTACAGTATAAAAGTGTCTATATGCCTGGCTTCTCATTCTAGGGCCATGTTTCTCACCACGACCGCTTGGAAGTCTCATCCTCTGCAGAGGCAGTCCCACTTGTGCTAACCGCCGCGGCTCCATCCTGGCGAGGCCACGAAGACGACCGTGAGTCTCGGTCTCGACGCTGCGACGGTCTCGAGTCTCGACGCCCCCAGTCGCTGAGCTTCCAGACGTGCTCTTTGGTCCCAGCCACAAAGGTGGTGGCCGGCGCGGGCGCGGGCGCGGCGTCCGCCATGTGGCAAGGCTCACCAGGGGATGAAGGTGAACAAAATAGGTTGGGCAAAAAGTAGATAGATCATGCCGCATGCCGCATGCGATGAAGTGGGGACTTAGTGGGAAACATTTCTTGGTTGAAAATTGGAATCTGCGCTGAGCTGGATTGAGACTTCGCTTGGCTTGCTGCACTGGAGCCAATTTTTCTATATCATTCCTCTGGTCGAAAGAATCAAATGAAACACATTCAGAACAACTGCATGGATTTGTCTTCTAATTGGGCTATACAATGCAATCTTGTCTAAGAATCTTAAAACTATGCTTTGGCACGCAAAAGTGGGCATGCTCATGCTTAAATTGTTTAACATGCTTTGCATTTCTCCGCATGCTCCACGCATGCTCCACGCATGCTCCACGCGCCCCACTGCTGCGTTTTCCTTTCGGTCACTGGAGTAGGGCGTGTCTTCGATAAGCCCTGCAAGCCATCAGGAGCTCGTCTGGATGGGCACTTCCTCGGTGCCCTGCCTGTCCTGACGAGGGGGTCGCCTACTTCGGGGGGTCTTGGGGGCCAAGAGATATGACCCTTTTGGCATTGGTGCAACACAACCCCCAAGAGCTCCCACAACCCTTCCTTCATCAGCTTCATCTTCCTCTTCCACAGGCCTTGCCGCCTTCTCCGCTTTGGCTTTGGCCCCGCTGGCTCGCGCGGATTCTGCCAGGGCCATCTTGGCCTCCACGCGGATGTATTTCTTCCCGTCCAGGTGCCCCACCATCCTCGCAGGTGCTGGAGCACCATCATCCAGCAGGAACCTGCCCAAGTCGTCGCTTCGCGTCGTCGCTTCGGGCGCCCAAGGGCGGGCGCGACCGAAATTGATGGCAGGGGTCGGACCTTCGCCACCGAAACGCAAACGTCCGGGCCCGAAACCAGCCCCTATCAAAAGTGTTAATTGTTTCAAACAAGCCTGCCCCAGCCATGAACCTGGTTCAATCCAACACGGTCGATGGGAGTGATTAACATGTGCTGCTTCTGGTGAAAAAAGGAAAAAAACAAACTTTCAGCTAGTTCCTTTAACCAAGGCACGTGCCGTAGCGCTCGTGCGCGTCCCAACCTTCCTTCCTCAGATCCAAGCCCTGCTCCTGTCCCAGTTTATCTTCGATAAAGCCACCCTTCGTCACCAGCCGCCGGCGACGGCCAAACACGAAGCTCCGGTAGTACTCGCTGGACGCGAAATGGGTGGAGTCGTGCCACATGATCATGGGAATGAAACGGAGGTGTTCTGCGCCGACGTCAGGGACTGAAATCACAAGTTCATCAAAGCTGCAGGGAAGATAGACTTTGATCTCCCCAAGCTTCGTTACAGCTTGAGTCATGTACTTGGTAGGGTCATTGGTCGTTGTTGGCAAGCCCACCATCTTCAAGCGGCTCTCCTGCATCATGGCCTTCAGCAAGACCAAAGCATCACGGAAGGGCCGCATGAAAGTACGGTCATGCTGCATGACACACACGAACGGCGTCGTGACCAACTCCAAGGCTGCCTTGACGGCAAAGCCAAATCCCTGGCGCTCAGCCAGTCGCACGATTTCCACATTCTTCCAGACCGAGGGAGTCTGATTTTCGGCGTGTCCCACCGAAGTCTCTTGACCTGCAAAGAGATTTGGGGAGACTCAGACCGTGCAACTGAGGATAAGCAATGATAAGCATGTGAATGCTTTTTCAGAAACTATCTTGAAAAGTCGTAGAGAGAGAGAGACATCTAGAGCTCACGATGTCAACAGCATCTCTCAAGAAATGCCAGGAGCCTGGCCTTTGTGAGCCAGAAGCTCCAAAGCATCCATGTACTGCTCATACGCATACGCTCGCTCAGGCGTCACCACTCCGCTTCGAAACTTGCTGTCGCTTCCGGAGCGATATCCATCGCACACGATGATGTGCCGGCACAGGAGCCTTAGAGAGTCTGCTTCTCTTCGAACGGAGAGAGGAGTCTTACGAATCGATTTCTATTTGGCGGAGACCCCCCCCTTGCATTCAGAAACCAAGTCTCGTCAAGCATATAAATCTGTATAAGTGCAGCTTGATGGTAGAAGGTTTGAACTTTCCGGGTTGGGGTCCAACTGGCCAAGTGGCAAGTCTGGAGCATTTTCTGCGAGACTGTCCAGGGTGGAACAAATCAGCTCGGTCGAGGGGTTGACCGGTGTCGGAGAAGTCGTAGTAATGATCGTGCACAGTGAGGACAAACATGGCTCACGTGGCTCCTGTTCCATGGGGCATGGTCCAGTTCTAGAATCAGAGGTGCTTCGCTGCTTGCTTGATTGCTATGTTTCGCAACTACTGAGAATCCGGTGAAAACGCAAAACAAGGCTGGGAAGGAGACGAACAAAGGATTAGTCTTAGAGAAAATCGGCTGCATTCTACGCGTCCATTCTTGAGCTCGATCGAACATACAGTGCAAAGCAAGTCAGTTGCAAGCTGTTGCTTTCCCGACAAAGAACCACAAATGATGCAGACTTGCAAGAGGCATCAAGAAGACAAAGATCTCATTTTCAGAGCACGAAAAGGCCCAGCACCATTCAAAACGTTGCGCTTAAAGCCTTCACTGATAAGGTTTGATCCTTAGACCAAGAAAAGGAGACTCATTACACAGATTTGGACACTCGAACACATTTGCTTTCTGAAAAAGAGCCTCTTGGAGGCCTTCAGAAGAATGAGCCAAGCCATGCTTTGACTCAGTAAGTGTACATTGGTTGCCAAAAGCTGTGTCTTAACTTCTGAAAAAGTAGGGCAGCAAAAGATGCAAAAGGAATTGGCAAACGTCGGTTGGCATGGAATTCTGGAACAATGCCCCGAGCGAACACAGCATAGGCATCCTAGAAAAACAACCACAAACTTCAGCTGGAGCATGCTCTGCCGAATTCCTTTCGCCCAGGTAAGTGCGAGGGTCATCGGCAAACCTCAGGCACCGTTCGCATCTGCTACGGACTCAATCTGCACTCGTTCCTCATTCCTCTTCGTACGACGAGGGTCAAATCGACCTACTGAACGAAGCGAGCGGACGGTGGCGCCAAGCGGCAGTGAGTTCCATGCCTAGTCCAGCCTGCAAGGCGTTGAAGCGCTTGATAGCACCACCAAATAAACATACAAAAACATGCCATTGCTTACATCAACAAGCAAGCTCTCTGTGTCTGAAGGCTCAAGCCATTGTGAAAGCCCACCACAGCACCATGACTTGCAGTGTTGTTGTTTTTTTACTTTCATCAAATGCTGACAATGGCACAGCCAGCGATTGCACCGTCAGCATCGGCAAATGTGCTGGAATTCCAGCACCCGACGGGCCTGAAGTCTAAGACAATCAAGAGCATCTTGGTAACTTGTACCTGAGGTGAGGCATCACGGCTTTCTGACCTTGAACAAACCGATGCCACTACCCTCCAGCACAAAGCTCTAACACAAAGCTCTAACACTTGCGCATCCACTCCACCCCGACACAAGCAACAGCCGGTACCCATTAAACAGCCAGGAATCCCAGGTTACAGTACCAACCAGTCCAAGCCCCACCGCTCTGAGCCGCCGACTACGGCCACGATTCCTGACGAGGAGCTCAGCAGAGACTTGAGAGCGCCCCCCAAGTGACACTCACTTTCTGAGAGCAACATACTTGCTACTCGTAACAAGGGCATTACTACTAGTAACAAGAAGCTACTAGTAGCGATGCCCCATTGTTCCTAGTAGCGATGTACAGGATAAGTTATAAGGAAGGGTGGAAAGATGCGTGCTTCGACGTTTCGAAGCTTTCAAAGGTTAAAACAATCGACAAGAACTTGACCACAAGTGAAGTCCATAGTGAAGTCTACACACCCAAGTGACTTGACCACACACCCAAATGTCCATAGTTATAGTGAAGTCACCAACGAGCTCTTCCGGGAGAAGTGGATCCATTGAGCTCTTCCACCAGTCACGACGGTGGAGGCAGTCACCGTGTGAAGCGGAAAAAAGAGGCCACGTTGACCTGGTTGACCTACTGACTGGTGCAACTCCTAAGGAATAAGGGTGGCTGGATCCTGAGGTATCTACAAGGGTGGTTCATTCCCTCATTCCCTACAAAGCTCGAGTCTGCCTATCGGTCATGGTTCTGCCAACTGGGTCAACCACCGGTCCAACCAGCTCTCCGGCCATGCTCTCACACGAGAGTCTTCGACCGGCCCCCAGATGGGCCTCTGCCTTCTGGCCTCTTTCGCCTCTTTCCTCCGCCCTCTTGGCACACTTTTTCGTGCATCCAGTCCTGTTTTTGAGGGAACGTCTGGAATCCGACAGACAGACAAAGGGAGAGAGAGAGAGAGATCTCACAGTCTTCACTGAGCCTATGTGCTTGGCATGCTGTCTTTGCTATGTGAAAGCCGAAAGAAAGCAACATAGCAACCAAGTAGTGCAAAATCCGTGGCACTGTTGCTTGACTCTGAATTGTTTCTGCGCCATGCAGAGCTTGCAATACTCTCCGCACTGACCCATGAGTTTTTCGAGTCTGAGACTAGCTCTAGCAGGCTGGCCAGGACTGGAAAGGTTGAAGTAGCTCAACTGAGAAGGGTGAAAGTGGTAACGGAATCACTTCGTCTTTCCGCCTCCAAGGCACGGCATTTGACCCTTCGACAGTTCTTACTGCTCGGACTGGCCTTCCGAGAAATGGTCTTCGTCCAGAGTACCTGGGCGTCTTCCAGGTGCTGGCGCACGCAAGGTCGGATCCAAAAGTGACCAATCCAGCTGGGCATCTTCAATTGAAAAAGGTCAACAATGTCTCAAAGACATTCGACTCTAGACCAGGATTTGGGACGTCGGCGGTCATCTTCGGTGCACTTGGGATCTTCAGCTTCTGTTTGGCAGCTGTTGAGGGCAGCTTCTATGAAGCAAACCCCACGGTCTGGCCATGAAGAAGCCGCGGACGCGTTTCCCACCCCTCGCCCATGCCAAGACACCCCAGGCCGCGGCAGAGGTCTCGGAGGCCGTCTTTGGATCTGCCTCGCTCAGAATGGACAGTCTTAAGAAGGCTGAACAAAAATACACCAGCACAGACCCCAGCTAGCAAAAGCATGCCTTAAAATCCATGAATAGCTCTCGCATGCTCTTGCCATCTGACAAAAAAATGTTTAGATATCCCAATTGGCTTCGCTCCGACATTCCTTGACCCTTTTGAGGGAGCGTCGATCTCCAAAACGAAAAGCAACGAAAAGCGTCGATCTCGAGGCATCTTCGGGTCCACGTCATCCAACACCGTCGCGTCCTTTGCGGGTCGACTCACCCCCCATCGACTGTACACGGCAGTGAGCCTTGCGTACCTTCCAGAGCCCCCCAAATCTCATAGGATTCGCTCGCAAAAGGAGGCCGGCTGATGGAAGCACTCACTTGACAGTCCCGATGAGAGGGGAGTTGGAATGTTGGATGCATTTTTGGACCACACCAGTCTTCGCTTGGAGTTTGCACCTGAACAAATCCAGATCGATCCGCGCGCCGCGCTCCGCGAGTTCCCAACCTCGCCACGGACCGCACGCGCCGCGGCCGAGGAGTTCATCGGTGCCTCCTCTGCGAAACTCGGCTCCAACCTGAATCGCTTCCCGAACTCACGTCGCGTCGCGACGGCAGCTGGGTGTCCCAACCCCCGAGCCCACCCTGAATCGATGGATCGATGGCCGGGGTGACGATCCAGGGGTCGGAAGAGAACAAGGTGGGTCACCGGTCTGAGCGCCAACGGCGCTAACGGCCTGGTCTTGGGCGCCAGGGAGGGAAAGCGCCCAACGAAGGAACCGTTGATCAACGAGCTCGGCTGCTTCAGGAACCGAGCCGAGCTCGGCTGCTTCAGGTCATCAACGCGTTCCAAAAAAACGCATTGTGAAAGGTTGAAATGAGACTCCAAGGTCCCGGGCTCCTCGACTTCCTTTCGAGTCTCAATTCTCTTCACCTCACAGGCGGCACAGAGAGAAAGAGAGAGAGAGAGAGAGATAGAAATGCCGATGCTGGCAGCGATGGATCGTCTGGAAGCTGCGAATCTGCTCTGCCATGGTTGACTTAAGACTTGACTGTGCACTAGTAGATATGATATGAGATGATATTTATCAGATGGTCTACTGTATGAAGACATTCCAATCCATTCTCCACGCGCGTGTGGCGCACGACGCGCACGACGCGCACGACACACAACGGCCGGTTCCACAGCGGCTTCGGCACCTCAAAAGGATCCACGGTCGATTCCATCTCTGGACGATGCTCCTCTCGCCTGGAGGCGTCTCGATCGTCTCGCCGCGCGGAAGACGATCGTCTCGCAGTTTCACTCGTGGCGGTGCGTTGGAAGGTCGCCTGTGGTGCTTGGAATTGGTGGCTTGGAGGGTTAGATAGTACTGAGGGTTATAGTAGGTGTTGGAATTGGTGGTTGGCACAATTCATGGGATAGTCATGTCTAGTCTTTTCGTGTCTGTCTACCTTTGTCCTCAGAAAAAAAAAAAAAAAAACTTCAAGCTTGGGCAGGACGCGTCTTCGAAGCGCACCTGAATATCTTCACGTCAGCCCCAACAGCAGTTGACGAGTTGGACATGCACCACCCTTGGCTGCAAGTCGATGGTGCACCGGCCAGTACAATAAGTGGATCATCGTTTTCGGATTTCTCCCTGAAAAAGGACACGGAAAACACCACTTCCGATGCGGACTCTCTTCGAGATCAACATCTGACAAGGGTTCTTGAGCATGAACCCAACTTCAAAAGGGACAAGTTGCATGGGGGAGAATCAACAAAAAGCGATGGCGCCAAAACATGCTGGCGAACTTGCGCTTGAGGGCAGGAGAGGTTGACGAAAGGTAAGTATGCAGAGGATGGTTGGTCGCAAATGACCAGCAAACCAGGCCCGATCGTTGAAGCCTGCACGGGGAATGTTAACGTGCCTTTTCTGCGCTTGGTTGAAGCCTGAAGTGCCTCTGCCACCAAGCTCATTAAGCACTAACCAAGTTGCCATCGGAGGCTTGGGTATCCTCCGCTATGGTGGTCTCCTGGCTAGTCGCCCAAAGCGGGTGAGCTATGATCATTTGTCATGTCCCAAAATACTGCAGGATTCAGGTTCAAGGGCTATAGCTCTTTGTCATTCAGGTACTCTGAACAGTCTGAACAGTCAACTTCACATTGAGAATTTCTAGACTCCAGGTTCTTGCTGCCCCAACGATGCACTACTAGCAGATGCACTACAAGTAGGCTTCCATATACATGCATGTCTTGGCTTCGTGGCAAATCGAGTCTATCCATGAAACAAAATTGATAAACTTGGTCCGAGGCTCTGACGAAGAAACGAGTCCCTGCCCTCCCACATCTGGCCTCCTCGCTTCTAGTGGCTGTTGGGCCTGTGCGGTCAAGAGCACAGGAACTCTCCTTGGCCTAGTGGCCCCTATTAGCACCTATTGGCAATCCTATTGGCCTGTTGATTGATGCTCCAGCTTCTGCAAGTAAAACTTGGCTGAAACTCTATGCAAACTCTACCTCTCGCGCTCTCGCTTTGTGGCCTGCAGCATCATCAACGCCGTCATCTGCACATGCAAAAGTAAAGTCCTGCTTCAATGCAGCAAGATTGCAAATGTATTCTTCCTGCTTATTATTGATATGAATCTTGGTGCAAAGGGGTACGGTACGAGCATACCTGGTGGCATACCCATGGTGCTCTCGATTCCACCGATCTCTCCGCTCGTTGCCGGTCCACCGTATTGACCGGAAGGACTTCATCGGTCACAGGCGAAGCAGACCTGCAAGGCTCTGCGAATGCTAGTCAGTCACAGCGACGGATGGTGGCGGTTCCCTAACGTTCAGAATTCATTGTTACCAGTAGGGTTGGAGGCCATCGCTTCTATGGTGGAGGCCATCGCTAGTAGGTTGGAGGCCATTGCTAGTAGGTTGGAAACCATATTCGCCAAGAAAGAAGTCATTGCTGCGGCCCCGCTGAAGTTTCTCAAAGTTCTCTCCTCTCTCGTGTCTGTCTCTGTCCCTGTCCCTGTCTCTCTGTGTCTCTCTCTCTCTCTCCTTCCTGCGTGGCGGCTCCACGCTTCTATATATCTGGGTCAACTATTTTCCCTGAGTCTGGGATGCTGCCAAGATACCTGTCCGCGAAACCTTAGTTAGAATGTTCAATGCTTCAATCTTGGCCACTGCAAGTCTGTCGGCCCCTACCACGACCCCCGGTTACTTCCAGGAGAATTCACAAGCAAGGACTGACTTCCAGGCACGCGACAAGGGCGGGATGGCATGCGAGCACGGAGGCCGTCAGAGTTACCTGGCCCAATCAGCGGCCGTCCGGGTCTAGCGTCTGGCAGTCTGGTTGGGAGAGGCCCCTTTTTTGAGTGGGAAACCCAAGCGGGAAAACTGAATCCCAACCCAAAAATACCCCAAAATCACACCAATGCCCTTGATCTTGGGCCTTCAATGCATCCCAAAAGTGAGGGTAAACCCTTGTTTGGTGATCGCTTTTCACGTGTGTCTCACGCCGGTGGCAGCCGTTCAGAAAACGGAAAGACTCCGAACCCAGAAGCGGAACTCGAGCGCTTCTCAGCTGCATCCGCGCCTTCTGGACCAGACAAGGAGGTTGACACTCGCAACTCCGGATGTTCTGGTCCAACCTCGGGAGATGTAGATGAACACGTCTCGTTCATCCCTGCGGAACGGAACTCGACCACCCCCCCCAACACGCCTACCTCCCACGTACCTCCCCCAAGCACGGATCACTACATTGATCGGTCGTCGCTCGGACGGCCGGTCTGGGCCGAGGCCCTGGCCGAGGCGATGCAACTCTTCCGGCTCCCGCTGCGGCTCCTGGCGGATCGCAGCTTGAGGAGCGAAGTCTTGGGGAGATCCGAGGGCCTGCGACGGGATTTGGGGTTGTCGTGTGTTCCAAACACGGGATTTGGGATTCGTTTGGTTGAGCATTGTTTTGAGTATTTGGGAACCGTCGGATGTGAAGGGAACAGTCTTGATCACGACTTGTTTGGAGGGATCACGACTTGTTTCTCGACTCACTTCCAAACCATCCTCATCCACGACCGTGCATTCAGATCCAGGACCGTCTCAGATCCGCCGCGGGGTCCTGCTGGTCTGTGCACTTTGACACGGACCTGCACGAGAGCGGAGCAGGTTGAGTCGGTGCTTCTGTTCTGCTTCTCTTCGTACCAGTCCAGTTGCTCACACAATGAGCCCTGATCATTCAAACTCTGCACACAAAGCTGCTAAAAAAAAGCGCAGCTCCCTAGAAAAGGAGTACGAAAATAGCTGTTGCTCACAGAAAAGAAACGAAAAACGATCCTGGCCGCGCCTAAAAAGTGTGTGTGTCGCCGCCGCTCGGGGGACGCACTTTCAATACCTTAGCCACTCCGTGTCTAAACATGGAGAAATCACGTGAGGATCAATGCACGTACCGGTAGACCTAGACCTCCCCAGACTTAGCATGACCATGAAAGCCAGTTAGTTCAGTGGGTGTTCGCCATGGTTGGCCTCCTTTCTCGTGTCGAGTTGTTCCCACCGAGAGGCTGGAAACGTGACTCTCTTGGCTTTCTCTGGATTCGACTTGAGAGGCCCTGGCGAGGCCACCGTGTACGAAGAGAAGAGAAGCACCGATCGGAAAGGAAAGCAAAAACCGTCCAGCATTGAGCAGGGCTTGGAAGTCTTTCCAGTCGCATCCATGAATGACTATTCCATCAAGTTGTTTAAAAGAGCTTTGAACAAGCCGTGAAGGCCATTACTACTAGGAGCAAGGACGCTACTACTACGACTACTACTACTACTACTACTTCTACTACTTCTACTACTACTACTACTACTTCTACTACTACTACTACGACTACTACTTCTACTACTTCTACTACTTCTACTTCTACTTCTACTACTACTACTACTACTACTACTACTAGGAGTCATTGCCAGAAAGACTATCATCCATATCTGCGACCAGCCACGAACAGCTGGCCTCAGCTCCTCGGAGTGCGGCGAAGGTGTTGCTGTCTCTGCCTGGAAGGAGGAGTGTGTTGATGCTGAGCCTGAAATGAATGGGTCAATGTGGTTCAGGGTCTATCCCAGTACCAGTAGCGGTGGATGATGATGATGATGATGATGATGATGATGATGATGATGCTGGTGATGAGGAGGATGATGAGGATGACGATGATGGTCAGTGAAGCCCCTTCTCTAAAACAGTCGAGAATTGTCTACCTTCTGTTACGGGCAATAGGATTCAACCAGTTGAGTAAGTTGACCAACAATATTGAACAAGCACCAATGGCCGTCAAAGAGGCTGAGATATTTACACAAAATCAGTGCTCTTGTTCTCGCGATTGCTTTTGATTTGGATACACATCTGGATGTCAAATCCCATCGACTCGCCTACCCGACCCGTCGACGCATCGACGCACCGACGCACCGCCTCTACCACTTCAATCGCCCTCGTCTCCGTGGCCTCCAGGTCTGGGGGTGCGGGAGGTGTTTTGATGGGGAAGAAAGCTGGGCGCCGGAGGTGTTTTTGTTTCAATGGTTTTTTCTATGTCAAGACACCGCACCAAGAAGCACGAATCATGCCTTCTGGATTCATCGAGTTTCAGGCAAAATGGGGCACTCAAGGCAAAAAACTGGCTTCGATGGCCTCTGCAAAGGCAGCTCGGGGGGTGTCCCCTGCCTGAATGGATGGGACAAACGGTGAGGGTGTCTTTTTTCGGCGTTGCACTGCAGTCAGACGCCCAGCTACGCAACAAATAGACTCAAACAAAGCAACACCAAGAGGGAAGTGGTTCAAAAGGGCTCCACTAACTTGTACTTAGCACTTCAGGCACTTGCCTCAGTTGGCACGACTGATGGCATCCTGGTGGTTGAAATACGGTCCTTAGCAAGCAATGTTGACACGACACGCAGCGGACTCTCGGACCTCCTTTGAAGCACCAATGAATGCCCAATGTGGGATTTGCCTGCGAAGCATCCTTTGAAGGATTCAGGAGTGTATGGCCCTAATCGTAGCATTGTTGGCATCATGAAAAAGCCCAAGTCTGCAGGTTGGCAACCTAGAACGGTCCCATCAAGGTTCGTGCTTCATGGATGAACTACTCTAGAGAAAAAGGTGTAGAATTTCAGCTATGTTCTTGCAAAAATCGAGCAAAAGAAAGACATGACAGCTGGGTGCTTCCTTCTAATGTCAAGATGATCCTCAGACCCGGCTAAGTGATGCGCATCTGGCTCAGCGGGTGGTGCAGAAAACAGTACATCAGGCAAAACTTCTTCACGCTCTGCACCATCCTGGAGGCAAGCATCTTCGGTGACATAGAAATGCACCAATGTCCACCAATGTTCCAGCAGCGGAGTTAAATACGAGACAACTTGGAACTCAACATATATATATATATATAAACAACAAATTGAATGAGCCAAAGAAACCAAACATCAACGAAGACCTCTCAGCCAACCAAACGCTTTCAGCCTGGACCTTTGGGGGTCCAACTCCGGTCGGCCTTCGGAGACTCGGCCGGTGGCCGCGAATTGGACCTCGGACCGGTCATCAGGACGGTGTTGATGGATCTCAGGACCTACCGGTGGCAACTCAGGCGCCAACCTTGAAATTTGAAGCTCCTGGACGGCAACCCAAATGGCTTTGATGGGTCATATGATCATGAGAAAAGATGAGAAAAGGATATGAAAGGCAACCCAAGTAAGCAACCTAAGCAGCCAACGAATGCAATCAAAACAGCAAGCACCCAAAGAACCCATGCCGCCCACGAGATCAAGCATTCAATAGCAGGCCTCTCGGGCCTCTCGCTCCACCTTGGAATCCTGAGGCGTCGCCTCAGTGGAAAAATCGGACCCCGGCCGTGCCGACACCGTGCGACGCACTGAGGATCCCCACGGGACCTGCGGGGCTGGGGGACAGATGTCCGCGCGAGGTCGAAGTCATGTGCTTGCTACCTCCGTGTCATGTGAGGCGCGCAACGACCGCAACGACGTAGACCAACGGGACATGAATCGATATCTCCAACCTACTAGCGCCCTGCCTCCACCCTACTATATAGCGAGGATGCTGGCTTTTAGATTGAAAAAGAAGGTTGCTTCGGCTTTCTGAAACGCAACCTATCCACACCTTGACGGCCCCTCACTGGGGAAGATGTGGACGCCAGGCTCGCTGTGAAGGGAGGACTCGCATCCGCTTCCTAGACGGTTGCTTCTCAGGCTCGGCTCGGATCACTGGAGAAACATCTCTGAAGGACGCTACGAACGGAGCGGTCGGACGCTACTACTAGTAGCAAGAAGCTACTAGGAACCCGGGCATCGCTACTAGGAGCAAGGAAGTTCTGGAGTTTGAGATTTCTTCAGATTAGCTCTCTACTCTTCTTTCTTCTCCATCGCTAGTAGGTTGGAGGCCATTGCGATTAGGTTGGAGGCCATTCTTCTTGTTTCTTCTCTACTCTTTCGTTTGGCTTGCCCTGCGGTTGCTTGAGAATATGGACTGGTGCTGGCGCAGGCCTTCGTGGGTGTCACCACCAGCTTCATGCCTTCGCACGAAAAAGCGTATCCATGTTCTCCTAAAAAACCCTTGCATTTTCAACCACCCAACGCATGAAGTCTCTTGTGTCCAAACAAACTAGCTTTTGTTGACTGTCCGCCAATTGGTGAGTAGCCTCTTACATGAGTGTACTCCTCAGATAGAAGAAGAAGTCTGAACAGCAAGCCGTGCCATAAAGAGGGAGAGCTTCAGGATGTCCAACGGCTCGTGATAAAACATCTAAAATCCACTCTCAGGCATGGGATCCGCACTGGAGACAGCTTTCCGATCCTTCTCAGCCATCGAGTCAGCTGACCTCAGCAAATGATGTTGTCTCATCTGCACATCCAAAAAATGAGCAGAAGTTTGACCTTCTTGAACCTTCTTGGAACGCTTTTTTGAAACTTAGCTGACAATCCGAGAATGGGAGTTGTACCAACGATCTTAGGCTGACATGTCCCACTGTTCAACCAGAACTCGGGAACGGCCGCGACAAACGCTTCGTGTCGCCTTTCTTAGGCTTCGTGTCGCTGTTGATTGGTGGAGGCCATCGCCATAAGGAGGCCATTACTACTAGGACGCTAGTAGTACCGCTGGGATGGAGGTCGCTAGTAGGTTGGAGGCCATTCATGAACAGTCGAGTCGTCTGCCATCGGGGTGCGGATGCATCGCTTCGACATCGTCGAAGCCGAGTAGCATCGGGCGGGGAAGCACGGCACGTTCCTCTTCTCCATCAGATTTGGATCTGCATGGGTCCGGAGGTGCCTCAAAAAATCTAATTAGGAGCAGACTGAAGTCAAGAAGGTGACTGGTGGTGCTTCAACTCAAATCGATGTATCCTCCACGTTGGCTTGATTGTATTGTCACGATGTCACCATGACCTCTCACCATGGATCTTCAACTAAGTGTTCCTCAACACGTTTCAAGATCCCACCAAAAAGAAAGAATTTCCGAACAGCCATTATTTTACTAAGGATTTTAGACTACAAACACTAACACCAAGTCAACCTGTTTATTTAAGGGTGATATATTTCAGGGCTAGGACCTATGATGAAAACACGGTTGTATAATGATATATAGTGGATTTGAGAGTAGATGGCACAGACCCCAAGAGGTGGTTGATATGGACCCCCATCAAAATAGGACATCATGGGGCTGTGCCATCTACTCTGAAACCACTGTATTTCAGCTTTCACATCCTTTTCGGCCAAACCCGGGGCCCCCTGCAGAGGATCCTCTCGTAGCTCCCTTCCTCTCCGCTGGAGCGATCGGCGGCGTGGGCAACGTCGCGTGGCCGCAGTGGGCGGCGTCTGCCTCGTGCGGCTCGGCGGTGACAGGGTGTGAGGATGTGAAAAAAAATACAAAAGTTTTCAGAGTAGATGGCGCAATCCCCAGAGTAGACGGTGGTTTAGATGGACCCCCATCCAAAAGACGTGTTTTCGGGTTGTGCCATCTATATACTCTCAAACCGCTGTAAGATCTGAGACTCCACTGAATACTTCGAAGCTATCAGGTTGGAGGCCATCGCTATTAGGTTGGAGGCCATTGCATTAGATACACAGGATGGTCCTGCTCTTGCCCTTTTCTTTTTTTCCTGGTTCTCGTTGAGATGTTCATCGTTTGACCAAGTATGAGCCTCAGCGGCACCAGCACTTTCCTTCGATGGCATCTTTTGCAACCTGAAGCTATGTTCAGAGTTTTTTGACCGTACCGAACTAGTTATTGTACTGAATCTGATCTAGAATCTCCAGCCTCTCCGCTTTCTTTTCACCTTGTCAGGTTGCACAAGAATCATCTACCAAAGCAAACTACACAAAAAGTGAAAACAAAAAAGAAAAACGCTGGCATCCTGTGCCTTCTTGCACAGGAGAATCTCCGTCCAGCACTTCTGACAGCTTCACATCCTGTCTGTGGTGCTTCGCACCCGAGTGAACGCTCAGAACAGCGAACCAAAACGCCTCCGCTGACGATCGCCTCCGCTTCGGATCGGACCGGTCCTGTTTCTGCTCGGGAGACCCCGGTCCGGAGGGCGGTGGTGTGGTGCCTCAAGAGGGACGGAGAAAAGAAAGAAACAACAACAACAACAACAACAACAACATGAACAACAACAACAACAACAAACACACGATAGAAAAGTGAGTACCAAGAAAACAAGAAGTGGATGACCAAGTGTCTTGAAAAAATGTCCTTTTCATCAAAAACCCTCTCCAAGTCCATCATTATACCGCGTCTAGGGCCCCAGCTCTCCGCTTGCGCCCACAGGGACAGCGGCATGAAACGCCCGCTGAACACCGAGCTCCGAGAGGCGCGATCTGCGGCCCCCGCGGTCGACGGCGCGGCACGTCCGGGGGAGCCGGGCGAGCCCAGAGCGTTCGGCTCGGAGAAATCAGTCAGTCGGTCGGTCTCTTTTTCTGTTAGGGATTTTTTGTTGGCATGATTTTGGGTTCCGTGTGGGGGAGGGGGTTTTTGTTGGCACTCGCAAAAAAAGTGAACTGAATCGATCACCGCTTGCCCTCAGACACATTCTCGCGGAACCGAGCCAGCTGGCTCGCGCGGGCCAGCGCGAGAGCGCTATAGAAGACACTTCAAAAGCATTTCTGCTTGCGAAACGCGTCGTTTCTCTCCGTTTTGCGCCGCCTGGAGCAGCCTCCGGACTGACCAAGGTCGCCAAAGCAGCCCCTAGCGTCGCCGATCGGATTCGCGATCGCGAGACATCCGGAGGGATCCCTATCGGGGCCACAACGGGGCCACAACCAGACGAGGGAGACAAATCCAAAGGAAGAATCAGACATGTCCAGATTGCACTTGCCTATGTTATTGAGTTATCGCGATGAAAGACTACAGTTGCACACAAAGACTACCCGGATAGTGATTCTCATCTACTTTGATTGTGCAGGAACCATAGCTGTTGAGAAGGTCTCACCAAGAAACAAGGAGTGCAGACTCAATAGCCGCGCCTCCAATGCTCACCCGGTTGCCAGCTGCAGACATAGCTGAACGAGCCCCAGCAGCAGCACCTGCCACACACTGCGACTGGACCTCCGGCCACGCCGCAATCCCCTCCCTTTTCTTGGCTGGCGGAGCGCGCTGTTCGTGTTCGCGCTCCAGCTGTAACGGCTCTCCGCTCTCGACACGCCGTCGACCCTCCGTGAGAACGATGGAATCACTGCGGTGCAATCGATGGAATTCACAAGGAATTCACGGGAATGGCTTTGACTCAAATGTACGCAACTCATGATCTCGCAAGGAAGTGTTCAGCTCATCATACCAGCGCAACCTTGGCTCGTTGCCGTTCTGTCCTTTCTTGTCTTTGCCATTCTGTCCACTGCCATCTGCTGCGTCTGCCGCATCTGCTTCGGTCCTGACCTCGAACCGAATCACCTTGACGCAAAGAAGGGTTTCAAGCGCTCACAGACCTGCAGTAGCCAGTCCGGAGTCTGGGCATAGCTGGCCCAAAACTCTACGAACCTGTACACCCGCCCGTGATCAGCCAGTGGCAAAACATAACCATCGGCGGGTCGTTGGCCGCGAGCTTCCAATAAGTCACAGATCTTCTCCAAACACTTCTGCCAGTCCATCGCCGTGGATTCATTTCGGCACAGTTCAATGGCGTTCTCCTCGGTGATGCGAGTCTCGGCTTCATCACACGCTCCAGCCTTCTCAGTGGGGAAGATATACCACACCCAATGGGACTCCTTGGCTCCCTGATCGAGCTCGGTCAAGATGGTCGCCATGTGCCTCTCTTGGCAATCGATCAATGCTACGAACGCTCGTTTGTCGTCCAGTCTCTCCAGCTGGGTCTTGCTCTTCCTCTTCGTGGCCTCGTTCCTTCTCTCCGAAGCACCCAAACTGGAAGCACGGGCCTGTCTTGGCGGGTCCATGGCCGGCGAGGAAGCCCGGCGAGGAAGCCGGTCGGACAAGGGTCGAGCGGTCGATGGGTCGAACGACCATCAGTCTCTTCCTGTTCTTTTCCTGTCTGTCTCTTGGTTTACCTGGGTGTTGTCTACTGCATCGACTATACCTAGTGCAGCATCGACTTATACCTAGACTATTCTACGGAGCAAGCCTTGCACTGAAAGTCTGGCTGCAAAGTGAGTTTGCCCTATCGGGTAGCAAATAGAAGTTCAGATGCTTTGAGCATCGAGAAGTCGGTGATGAACACCGTGAGTGGCTTGGCACCTTCTCGAGCAATGGGTTGCAACTACGGACTTCGGCAGCAAAACCCCGCAAAAAGACAAGGGAACTTTGATTGGCGCTGCCGGCGTCGCCCAAAAAACCATTGCTTTCCCGACTTCCCAATCTCCCCTTGCCTGTCATTGCAGCCGCTGCTGCAGCAGCCGCGGCTGCAGCCCTAGTGGGGTGCCAGCTCACAGTGCCAGCCAGCTCAGGTGAAAATAAGGATTTGATGCTACTAATAACGAATTCAATTTGATTCGCATCTTTCTCATCCTCTATCGCGAGTAGGTTCGAGGCCATTGCTATTAGGTTGGAGGCCATTTCAATTCACATCTTTCTCGTCCTCTATCTATCGCTAGTAGGTTGGCGGCCAGCGCTATTAGGTTGGAGACCACTTCAATTCACATCTTTCTCGTCCTCTATCTATCGCTAGTAGGTTGGAGGCCAGCGCTATTAGGTTGGAGACCATTGCTCTTAGGTTGGAGGCCATTTCAATGCACATCTTTCTCGTCCTCTATCTATCGCTAGTAGGTTGGAGGCCATCGCTATTAGGTTGGAGGCCATTTCAATTCACATCTTTCTCGTCCTCTA